GTATATACCCAAAGAACTATAAATCGTTCTACTATAAAGACATATGCACACATATGTTCATTGCAGCCCTGTGTACAACAGCAAAGAACTGGAACCAAACCAAATGCCCACCAATGACAGACTGGGCAAAGAAAATGTGGTACATATACACCATGGAATACTATGCATCCATCAAAAACGATGAGTTCGTTCCTTTTTGGGGACTTGGATGAATCCGGAAACCATCATTCTCAGCAAAGTGACACAAGTCCAGAAAGCCAAACACCATATGTTCTCACTCATAGGTGGATGTTAAACAAGAGAACAGGTAGACTCAGGGAGAGGAGCGCAGATTGGCGTGTAGGGGACAGCATGGGGCGGGGAGGTATAACATGGGAGAAATGCCAGATATAGTATGCACCTAAAGTAAAATAAATAAATTTAAAATAAATAAATAAAAAGAAAAATATTGAAGCCATTATGCTTAATAATTTCCAAACACAAAACAAAGCTACAGTAAACAAAACACTTTAGTACTGGTATAAAGGCAGAACACCAAAAGCAGTAAAATAGAAGGACGCACAGATATAAACTCTTGCATATATGGTTAAATGAGTTATTCACACATAATTTATTGAAGCATTATCCACAAAAGCCAATAGGTGAAAACAATTTAAACTTCTTGTATCAAATAAATGGACAAACATAATTTGAAATACAAAGAAAATGAAGTATTACTCCACTTTTAAAAAGCAGAAAATTTTCTAGTATTTACCATAAAGACAAAATTTGAAGACATTATGTTAAATTTAATAAGCTGGTCACATGCACTAAAATACTGTAGGAATATACTTACAGGGAGTATCTAAAATAGTTACATCTTTAAAAAGAGAAAACAGAATGTTTGGAAAGTGCAAGTTAATAGGAATAAATAGTGGATTCATGTATATTGCATATTTATTTTATAAAAATTAATATGTTCTAGTGATATGTTGCTAATATACTTAACTATATAATTGAAAAATTAAAGATTATAAATTTTGTTATGCATTTTTTAGAATCAAAAATAAAACAACTGCCGGGCGCGGTAGCTCACGCCTATAATCCCAGCACTTTGGGAGGCCGAGACAAGTGGATCACGAGGTCAAGAGATCGAGACCATCCTGGTCAACATGGTAAAACCCCGTCTCTACTAAAAATACGAAAATTAGCTGGGCATGGTGGCACACGCCTGTATTCCCAGCTGCTTGGGAGGCTGCGGCAGGAGAATTGCTTGAACCCAGGAGACAGAGGCTGTGGTGAGCCAAGATCGCATCATTGCACTCCAGCCTGGGTAACAAGAGCGAAACTCCGTCTCAAAAAAAATAAATAAATAAAATAAAACAACCATTCACAATCAACCAAAAAAACAAACCCAGCTATTCAAGTTATGAAAGAGGGACAATATTTATACAGTCAAACAAACACAAAAATAATTAAATTGGCAATAGATATATAGCAGATTCATATCTCACTTTTGTCCAAACATTGTCTTAATGTATACAGGATTAAATATTGACATATAAAATTTTACTTTGTAAATAAAAACAAAAACACAATTAATTAATGTGACATAGCCTGTACTAAAATCAGACAAAGGAATGTAAAATGGCAGAACACAATTTAACAACAACAAAAAATTAATGAAAACAATTGACTAAGCATAATGTCCTACTAAAAAAGATTTCTTCTAGATAGCTACAGTTTTCAACTATGACTGCACATTTACAAAGAGAACATATTTTCGTGTTTTGTTTTGTTTTGTTTTCAACTTTTACTTTGGGTTCAGAGGTTACATGTATAGGTTTGCCGTATGGGTATACTATGGACTGCTAAGCTTTGGGGTACTAGTACTACACAGGTAGTAATCACAGTACACAATAGGTAGTCTTTTAGCTCTTTTATTCTCTCCCTTCCTCCTCTAGTGGTCCCCCATGTATATTGTTTTCATCTTTATATTTACATATACCCAGTACTTGGCTCTCACAAGTAAGAACATGCATCTTTTGGTTTCCTGTTTCTGCATTAATTTACTTTGCATAATGACCTCCATATACATCAACATTGTTACAAAGAATTTAAGTATGTCCTGTTTTTATGGCGATGTCGTATTTCAGGGTGTATAGGTATCATATTTTCTTCATCCAATAGAAGATGCCCTATTGGGCATCTAGGTTGATTCCATGTCTTTGCTATTGAAGGCCATGAAATTTGAATCATTAGTGTACAATGAAAGAACATAACATTTTATAGAAAATGCATTATTATCATTCATACTTTAACAAACATGAAGAAACAAGAACTGAAATAGTACAAGTATAGAAACAAGTGCAGAAGAATCTTCTTTATTACATCATTATTATTTTGCTATTTTTACACAAAATGTAAAGGTTATAATTTGACCTCTGGAAGCAAAGCAAACTATTACATTTCTAAATAATATATACACTATAAATACTGCACAATATGTATGAAACACTAATACACTAAATGAACAATTAGAAACAAAGGTATATGATTATTTTAATCACATAGTTTGAGAAAAGCGAATAAAAATGCTAGTAACTTTTTATGTTCAGTAAATGTATAAAAATTTTTAATGAATATGAGGTGCATATTAATTATATAATTCAGTTTTTATATAACATATGCATTCAAGTACATTACCTGAGAACTTGTGAAATTGCAGGCAAAGTTGGCACACAGAGAATGAGAAAGTAAAAAGAAAAAATGTAGGACACAGTCCTACTAATCTTCACAGTAAGATAAAATGATAGAATAGTTATTAAAAAAAATAGTAATAATTGGGAATTTACTATATGCTGAGCAGTGTTGTAAGTAACCTATATTAGTGTTTTTCAGAAATGTATGAGGTAAGTAAAATCAAATATTCAACCATTAAGTTATTTGTCTAGATGTTTTGTGCTCTGATGAAAGTTCTCAGTCTCATTTTCTCTATGATCACCTGACTGGAAATTATAAAGCAGAGAACATATGACATTTGTTCCTGGTACTTCTGGAATCTCTTAACCAAATTTTAATGTTTCACCTACTCCTCTCATAGATGTCTAATGTAATGCAAAAACAGATCTTTTAAAACTGTCTAACATAGTGGTTTTTGAAAATGCATGCACTTAGAGAATTTAAGAGCACAGTAAGCATACATCACAAAATTTTTCTCCACCACAGTAAAATAAACAAACCTGGTTTTTAAGAATCAATCCCATTTGGAACACAAAATTCCAATCCCTATTTTAAACTGTAGTTTTTCTCTTTTACTTTTGAAGCTTTCACATATGTTACCTGCTAAATCATTTATACTAAGTATATGGCTATTATTTCCCCTCTTTCGCATGCCTGGAATTTTTCTACGCTGCAGAAGGTAACCAGGTTTAGTACACAACCAACACAATGATAAAGTAATGCTGAGAAGAAAGGTCAATGCTTGTCACAATACTAAAGTATTACAATGCCAAAGTCAACTAGAAAAGCAAAAGATTATAAAATCTTAAAACAAAATGAGAAAAAATCTCTTTAACTTAGAAATAACATATAAAAGTAAAAAGACACAACTGAGAACATGTTTGTGAAACACTAAATATCCATAGCATGGATTATTGCCATAATCAGTCTTTAAGTAAATCTTTTAATATTAGATTAGATGGCTATGTATTGCTTTCCAAATTTCATCAAAGGATCTCAGGACATAAGAAAAAAAGGTGGTGGGGAGGGATAACATGGGGAGAAATGCCAGACATAGTATACACCTAAAGTAAAATAAATAAATTTAAAAAAAAAAAAAGAAAAAAAGGAGAAAATTTACCCCACTTGAAGAAACAAAAGGTGGGGAAAATAAGCGATGCTATTCAAATAGTACAAATTTTTAGTCACAGAACAAGTTGTGGTGACTTAATTTACAGCTTGATGACTTTAGTTAATAATGCTCTTTTGTATGCTGAAAATTTGCTGACAGATCTTAACTGTTCTCACTACACAAATGGTAACTATATAAGGTGATACATCTGTTCATTAATTTTATTATACTAACCATCTATTATGCATACATATAAAATCAATAAATTGTATACAATAAATATCAAAATATTCAGTTATTATTTGTGAAAATATCCATGTTAAAAACACATACATATATACACAGGTGTATACATATGAGCATTGTGTGTATATATACATATACACGTATATTTGAAAAACAGAGGCCCAGTAAGCCTTATATTAAATAAGGAAAAATTATAAAATACAAATTATTTAAAAATAAAGTTAAAATTGAGCTTTTAATATATACTCAACAATGTTTTAAGCTCCTCAATGACAGTCTATTTGATAAATGTATGAAGTAGATAAACATTACAGTTGAGGGATTTAGGCGTACAGAGTTTATCAATATCAGTTTATATAAAAACAGTAACATTTTCAAGTAACAAAATTTTAGACATTCTTATATTTAGGGAGATGCTTAGTGTTTTGTAAAATTACTTATTACAAATTTCTATAAAATCCCATTTGAAACCCCTGTAGGATAGAAAAGTATAAAGCAGGAACATACATCTTTTTGATGTTCCTGGGATTTCTTAACTAATTCCCAATATCATCAAAAATCTATTATATTTTAGGCATCATACAAAAAAAACCTTAAAAATTGTTTAACATAGGGTTTCTCAAAATTACAGATATTACTATTTCTTTCAAAGCAATGACAGAGCATTCAGATCACACATTCTTTTAAGTTATTATTAAGACTTTCATTACCAATGTAAACTAAGAAAACAATCAAAATAACCATAACTGAAGAGGACATTAAAAGTTAATGAGAATGAGACAAAAGATGTCCTTATGTCAAAGCAAGAGAAAGAAATGTAGGCTAATCAGAAACTATTTCCATTGGCAGAGAGCCTCTTAAATTATAATTAAAAATCTGGCACCCTCCTTGACACCAGGAACTCTCATTTGTGTCATTTGCTTCATTCACTCCTACCTACCTGAGTGTTTGACTACTGTCTCCTGTCTCTTCACATTCCAAGGATCTTTTCCTTGCTCCAGATGGGTAATTAATTCTGGCTTGGAGTCACCAAGACCTGTTTTATTAGAAAACAGAACATGACTCTTGCTAGAACAGTCCAATTATCAATCTAGTACTGTGCTCAGTAGAGAAGAGAGAACATTATAAACGATTCTAGAAAATTAATCTCAATATACTGTTTCCTAAGGGGAATTTTACAATATTTATATAGCATTTTGAATTTGTGGGTTCTTAGCTCTACTACTCAGTAATAATAAAAAATTAGTGGTAACAATTTGATTTTAACGTATAGGTGACAATATTTTATGCCACTACATTTCTGGTATTAAAAAAGATTGTTGTTAAGATAAATCATCTTGAAATTTTTTCTACCTAAACAGATACCCATTTTCTTGCTTTATTTTGAAGCAAGAATCTGAAACTCATTCATGCAAAGCATAAATTCCCAGAAAACAAAACAAAATAAATTATTAAGTGTGGAATGTGAATTGTATATTGAAGTTATTCTCACCCAGGGACACCAGGTTTCTGTAGTTCTCTAACGTCACATCCCTATACAAATGTTGCAGAGAAGAATCAAGGCATTCCCACTCTTCTGGACAGAATCCTTTGGCCACATCCCTGAATGTCAACATCTCCTGAAAAACATAACATATTTAGCAGGTGGTCATCGGAAGAATTCTAAATTTTACATCAGGCAAATTGAGAGCAAAAAGAAGTGTTTCTGACTTATATGAGTGTAATTATCCAATTATATATATATATATATACATGTATATATTTGAAACAGAATTTCAATGCTGGAGTGCAATGTATGATCTCTGCTCATTGCAACCAATGCCTCCTGGATTCAAGTAATTTAGCAGGTAGTAATCGGAAGAATTCTAAATTTTACATCAGGCAAATTGAGAGCAAAAAGAAGTGTTTCTGACTTATATAAGTGTAATTATCCAATTATATATACATACATATGTATATATTTATATATACATACATATATATATATTTATATATACATACATATATATATATATTTATATATACATACATATATATATATATATATATATATTTGAAACAGAATTTCAATGCTGGAGTGCAATGCATGATCTCTGCTCATTGCAACCAATGCCTCCTGGATTCAAGTAATTAACCTGCCTCAGTCTCCCAAGTAGCTGAAATTACAGCCATGCACCACCATGCTCAGCTAACTTTGTACTTTTAGTAGGGACAGGGTTTTACTATGTTGGTCAGTCTGGACTCAAACTTCTCACCTCAGGTGATCCACACACCTTGGCCTCCCAAAGTGCTGGGATTACAAGCATGAGTCACTGCACCAGGCACAATAAAATACTTTCTAGCACAAAAATACTCTCTAGTGTATTCTTTAACTCTGATAAAACAAAACGGCATAGGATCCACAAAACTAGTGTATATACAATACTTTTCTTGATCATACATTATAAAATGAAGGACACCAACACAGACACGCACTTCTGAAAGCTATATTTATATAATACAAAATAAGCTGTCTATAGTTAGTAAATTAAAACTTCATAGTAAAATAGAAACACATTTCTCAAATATTATTGTGTGCAACAACAAACAGGAGCTCTTGTTAAAATGTAGATGTTGACTCTGGAGACTTAGAATAAAGCTTGAGTTTTTGAATTTCTAACAAGTTTGCCAGTGGTGTCATTGCTTCTGGCCCAAGAATAATATTTTGTCAAAAATATAGTAAGTGGCACAGCCTAGGTTTTCAATTTATTTGACCAGTAAATGAAGATGGGAGTCTTCATTATTTATAGCACATTACATGCCAAAAGAATCTAAGAAAAAAGGACTATCAGATTAAATTTGGTTTAATCTTTTTGGTTTTTTGCACATCAGTTAATAAATCTCCCCTAAGTACCTATTAATAATAAAAATTAAAATAGATAACTCTAGAGTAGAAAAAAATCTGAAGAACATATTTACCAAGTAAATACAATTCACATCAACTATAATAAAATAAATTTATTTCAGATGGTGATGTGCACAGGATGATGAAACACTACTATGATATTACTAACTCAAAAAAGAGTCAACTTAATCTTAATCTAGTCATAAAGAAACATCAGTTTTAAGCAAAGTTTAAGCTACAACTATTTCCCATGTTCTGTTATCTCTAATGGTGTCTATAAATAAGTTTAGGTTTAGCATCCTAGAAAGGCAGCCTCTTCTAATTATTTTTTTAGATGTAGTTTTACTCTGTCACCCAGGCTGCAGTGCAATGGCATGTTGGCTCACTGTAACCTCTGCCTACCAGGCTCAAGCGATTCTCCCACCTCAGCCTCCTCAATGGCTTGGATTATAGACACCCACCATCATGCCTGGAAAATTTTGGTATTTTTGTGGAGATGGGGTTTCACCATGTTGGCCAGGCTGGTTTTGAACTCCTGACCACAGGTGATTCCCCCACCTCAGCCTCCCAAATTGCTGGATTACAGGTGTCAGCCACCACGCCTAGCATCTATTTTTTATTCAGCACTTTCTGAGTTTTCCTGGGCTATAAAGGCCATTCTCATTAAATGTGCATTTTTATAATCTGCTTGGCATAGAGTTAATGAAAGCTAACAGTACATTGCCTTTCTCCTCACTGATATCCAAGGACCTCATCTAATCTCTAACAGGAATCCTGGGCATTCACAACTTCCCATGTTCAAAAGCCTCAAAAGGAACATTTGTAATGTTGCACATCATAAATTCATGGTGATGACTTTTCTTGGCTTATTACATGCTGGATGCAGAGAAAAAAGATAAAGCTCTGACATATCAGAAATAAGTATTTCTCAGAGTCCCTTGCCTATTGTAAGGAAAAAAAAAGGGGCCGGGCACAGTGGCTCAAGCCTGTAATCCCAGCACTTTGGGAGGCCGAGGCGGGTGGATCATGAGGTCAAGAGATCAAGACCATCCTGGTCAACATGGTGAAACCCCGTCTCTACTAAAAATACAAAACATTAGCTGGGCATGGTGGCGTGTGCCTGTAATCCCAGCTACTCGGGAGGCTGAGGCAGGAGAATTGCCTGAACCCAGGAGGCGGAGGTTGCGGTGAGCTGAGATCGTGCCATTGCACTCCAGCCTGGGTAACAAGAGTGAAACTCCGCCTCAAAAAAAAAAAAAAAGACACAGGCACATGTATGTTCGTTGTGGCACTATTTACAATAGCAAAGACCTAGAACCAACCCAAATGCCCACTGATGATAGAATGGACAAGGAAAATGTGGCACATACACACCATGGAATACTATGCAGCCATAAAAAATGATGAGTGTGTGTCCTTTTTAGGGACTTGGATAAATCTGGAAACCATCATTCTCAGCAAACTGACACAAGAACAGAAAATCAAACAGGGCATGTTCTCTGTTATAGGCAGGCGTTAAACAATGAGAACACATAGACACGGGGGGGCGTATCACACACTGGGGTCTGTGCGGCGGGGGGGACTGGGGAGGGACTGCAGGCAGCAGTGAGTTTGGGAGGAATAACATGGGGAGAAATGACAGATATAGGTGATGGGTATGGAGGCGGCAAACCACATTGCCACGTATGTACCTATGCAACAATCCTGCATATTCTGCACATGTACCCCATAACCTAAAGTGCAATTATATGTATATGTTCGTGTGTATATGTATATATGTGTATATATACACATACATATACACATATATATACACACGAACATATACATATATGAAAGTTAAACCATAGACCTTGTGAAAAACAAGGTACATAGACTTGTTATGAGATTTAAAAAAAAAAAATAGCACATACTATTCACAACAGTCAAAGGGTGGACAGAACCTACATGTTCATTTGTAGATGAATAAAGAAGTGATGTATCCCCGTAATGAAATATAATTCAGACACAGGAAGGTGAGAAAAAAGAACAGAAAAAAAATATTCATTTGAAGAGGTGTTTCATCCACATTCTATGGCCACTCACACTGAGACAGAAGAGGGGATGCAATCATTCTATAAAGTGCTCAGAACAATGTCAAACTAGAAGAATTCCAGAACAATTCTTGAAGAACTGCTAGTACAATTCTATCTGGAAGACAGCCAAGAAGCTGTCCTGTTCACTTGCCCTCACAGTCCAGCGGGCCTCTGCCGAGGGTGGCGTCACCATCAGAGGATTGCTGGTGCCATCCTGAGAAGAAAGAGAAACATTCTTTGTGGCTGGGTTAGAATTAAATCATAGGAGGGTGGGTTTGATGAAAAGAATACACATTTCAAAGTGCTTGCCAAAAAATAACACTCAAAAAGTTAATCTGAATTACTACATGATCCAGCAATTCCACTGCTAGGTATTAAGTTAAAAACTGGTGATTTTTACTAAAAGAATTAAAAATAGGTGTTAAAATGAATACTCATAGCACATACTATTTACAACAGTCAAAACAGTGGACAGAACACACACATTCATAGGTAGATAAATAGATAAAGAAGTCTTCTATCCCCAGAATGGAACATGATTCAGCCACATGAATGAATATGATTCAGAAGGACTGATCCATGCTGCAACATGGATGAACCCTGAAAACACGATGCTGAGGGAAAGAAGCCAGACACAAAAGGCCACGTTATATGATTCCATTGATATGAAATGTCCAAGACAAGCAATCTGTTGACAGAAATAAAATTAGTGGTTGCCAGAGACTGGGAAAGGGGAATCAAAGAGTGGTGACTTAATGCAGATGGAGTCTCATTTTGAGGTAATGAAAATGTTCTGGAAATAGAGGTCATAACTGCACAAAATTATGGATGCAGTAAATGCCACTGAATAGTTCACTTTAAAATTATTAATTCTCCATTATGTGAATTTCACTGAAATAAAAAGGGAGGACTAGAGAAAACATGGAGATATACACAGACATGCACACACACACATATGCTATTAGAAGAAAGAACTTGAGGGACTTGGACACTCACAAACTGAGGCAGTGGCATGCTCAAATTCAAATTGTTCAAGGTAACTTTGTGGCTGCTCTATGCACAGCCCACCAATCTCAGTGCAACACAGGAACCCTGCAAGTCCAAAGAAAAGAAAGGAGTAGTAAGCAGCAGCATATTGCCACTTGTGGCAGGGGGAGCTGTCTCCAACAGTGGGCTTTAGGGAAAGAGGAGGCCCACTTCAACAATGAAGGCTGCACAAAAGCCCCTAAGAGAGTTGGGCTGAACTGGACTCACCTTGGGGACACTGTTTAAATGAATAGAATAAAGTGCACTTAGCTCATTGCATCTGGAACTCTGTAAAATTTCAGATGCAGGTATTTTTCAAATATCATGAGTTCACAATATTTAGGAAAGGTTAGATTGTATAAAGCAACAAAATTACATGCTTAAGGTGACAAGTGAGGAAACAAATGTGCTGAAATTTTTGTTTGTTCCTTCTAAAAATGGAATCTCACCGTGTCACCGAAGCCCATGCAGTGGCGACATCATGGTTCACTGTAGCCTCAAACTCTGGGCTCAAGTCATCCTCCTGATTCAGCCTGCTAAGTAGCTGGGACCACAGGTGTGCACCACCATGCCCAGCTAAGTTTTTATTATCTTTTTAAGGGATGGGATCTTGCTATGTTACCCAGGCTGGTCTCAAATTTATGTCCTCCTGCTTCGGCTTCCTGAGTAGCTAGGATTACAAGTGTGAGCCATTGAACCAAGCTATGTGTTGAATTTTTTTAAAAAGCAATCTGCAATAAACACAGTTGGCTAAAAATTTATATCTGCGGTTCACCACTATCCCCTCAGCCTTGCTAAACAGAGCATCCCCTGCTTACCTCCAGCAGACTGACATGGACTCCAGTCCCCACACGGGACAAAGAACCTGAACTTGACCATCAGGTGCCTCCACTTTGAACCCAGAACCCCCCACGCCATAGGTTCAGGGGACTTGATGAATCACCATTTTTTAAAATTAATTAACTGGACTAGAAACATGAATAGTTTTAAAGCTATAAATAAATACAGTTAGAGTGTTTAAAATGTCTTCAAAATGTTAAGTGCTAAAATCAGCCTCTCTTAGCCTGCTGTCCTCAGAAGCCCTTGTAGAGTGTAGAGGATCATACTGGGGTGTTGAGGACGGGGGAATTTAATTCCTGCAAGGTCTGAGGAAAGAAAATAATTAATACATAGATACTTTTAAAAAAAGAAACAAGAAAAGAAAATGGTTGTCCAGGCACATTGACTCATGTCTGTAATCTCGGCACTTTGGGAGGCTAAGGCGGGTAGATCACAAGGTCAGAAGCTTAAGATGAGCCTGACCAAAATGGTAAGACACAGTCTCTACTAAAAATAAAAAAAGAAATTAGCGGAGCACGGTGGTGGGTGCCTGTAGCCCCAGCTACTCGGGAGGCTGAGGCAGAGAATTGCTTGAACCCGGGAGGTAGACAGTGAGCCAAGATCGCACCACTACACTCCAGCATGGGTGACAGAGCGAGACTTCATCTCAAAAAAAATGGTTATGGGGAACTATGTTAAGCAAAGTTAAGTCAAATTTCTTTTCCACAGGAATTCTCAGAATACTTAACATGCAGTAGTGACACTGAGAGCAGTGGTTCATGTCTGTAATCCCAGCACTTAGGGAGGCTGAGATGGGAGGATCACTTGAGCCTAGGAGTTCCAGATTACCATGGGCAATATAGTGAGACCTCATCTCTACAAAAAAATAATAAAATATTAGCCAAGTGTGGCAGTAAATGCCTGAGCCCAGCTACATAGGAAGCAGAGGCAGGAGTACCTCTTGAGCCCAGAAGGTGGAGGCTGCAGTAAGCCTTAATTGTGCACTGCACTCTAGCATAGGGATCAGAGCAAGGCTCAAAAAAATTAAAAAAATAATTAATTATT